ACTCGGGAGAGAGAGAAATTTGAAGGCTTAAGTAGGGCAAAATTGTACTTTCAAGCTTAAAATTAGTTTTGTTTTGTTTATCAATTGTTATATAACTTAAATAGGTACTACTGCTATTTCAAGGATACATTGAAAAATTTTGGGAAAAAGTTTTAAAACACCTTTCTTGTTTTGTTGCCATGTCAACAACGCCTAGCAATTTATTATCTGTGTCAACAAAACATGGAGTCCACGAACGAATTCCACTAGTTAGGGGTGTTCATGTTCGATCAAATTCAATTGATTTAACTCAAATAGATCCAATCCAATAAAAAACCAAACAAACTAATATAAAATTAAGTTGGTTTGAATTATAAAATTTAAAAACTGATATAATTGGTTTGGTTTGTGATTTAACTTCAAACTGCCCAAACCACCCAATTACAAAATAAAACTTGATTTAATTAAATAATATAATATATTTTTTGTAATATTTTTAAATTTCTTTTTCTTGTTTTACAAGATAATAACTTCATTAACTTAATTAAAAAAATAAAAATAAAACATCTCTATATTTCCTAATATATTATTCCCTAATTTATTTCTTTTTCTTAATCGTGTACTTTACCCCTAATTCTAAATTTCTAATTTACTTGCAACTCTATTCCTTAGAACTAATATGTGCCTTTACTTTTAAAATCCTAAATTTTTAATTTGTTTCTAAAATAATATTCTAATTCTTTTAACTAAGTTTTAAAGAAATATCATTTTAGAAATCTCAAAACTATATAATAGAATGAATCTTGATATTCTACTATTTTTGGATGTTTAGTTAAGGAGTTTTAAATCTTGATTATGAAAGCTTCTAATCAATTTTAGTGATATTTATGTTAAATTTTGATCACTTTTGATAGGATTTGGAAAATGAGATTGAATTATTAGTGTATAAAAATAAAAAAACCTTTAAGGATTACTTACACTGTGCTTGAAACTTGGAGTCATCTTTTATTATTTTTGGTGTTTTTAGTGATGTAACTAAGAAAAATATCTAGATCTTTTCAATTTTTACAATTGTAAAGAATTATAAGAACTTGTTTATAATTTGTGCTTTTATTATGTTTCTACTGATTTGAATGTTAATGTATTTTATAGTTATATTTTTTTCTTGATGTTAAAATTTTTTACATTATCTCATATATTTAATAGTGTTAAAAACTGTCAATTAGACCAAACTATATTGGTCCGACTTAAGTTAGATTAGTTTGGTTATCATAAAATAATAGATTAGATTGGTCTAAAACTTTTACTAATCAATTAAATTGAATTGATTTAAAAAGTATTAAAATTTAAACTAAGCTACACCGCAAACACCTCTGCCACAAGCCACCTTAGCGTTGACACCCTTTAAATCCTTAAATAGACATTTTACAAAGTTTGTATCCTCATTTAAAATAAAATTGAAAGTTGATAGCCTTCCTTAGAAATAGAAAAAGTATATAACCTTAAATAAAAAAAGTGGCAAAGTTCATATACTTATGTGGAACTTTACTCCTTGAGAATAGCTACAGGTAGGGATGTTCGCGGTGTGATTTGGATCAGATTTTAATATTTTTTTAAATCAATCCAATTAATTGGTTATTAAAATTTTTAAACCAATTCAATTCATTATTATATGATAATCAAACTAATCTAACTTAAATCGGATCGGTGTGGTTCGGTCGGATTAATTGGTTTTTAACATTATTCAATATATGAGATAATGTAAAAATATTTTAATATCAAATAGAAAACATAATTATAAAACACATTAATATCCAAATTAATAAATACATAATAAAATGTATAAATTATAAATAAATTCTTATATTCATTTACATTTGTAAAAATTGAAAAGATTTGAAAATTTTTTTTGGTTATATTACTATAGTTACCAAGAACAATAAAAGATGATTTCAAGTTTTTAGCAAAAGCCTAAATAATTTCGAAAAGTTAAAATTATCTTTTTTTTTTCTTAATACACTAATAATTTAATTACATCTTCTAAATCTTATTAAAAGTAAATTAAATTTAACATAAATATCACTAAAATTGATTAGAAGCATTCATAATTAAAATTTAAAACTTCTAAACCAAATATCTAATAATAGTAAAATATCAAAACTAGTTTTATGATATAGTTTTAAAATTTTTAAAATGATATTTCTTTAAAACATAATTAGGAGAATCATAATATTTAACATAAATATCACTAAAATTGATTAGAAGCATTCATAATTAAAATTTAAAACTTCTAAACCAAATATCTAATAATAGTAAAATATCAAAATTAGTTTTATGATATAGTTTTAAAATTTTTAAAATGATATTTCTTTAAAACATAATTAGGAGAATCATAATATTATTTTAATAATAAATTAAAAATTTAAGGTTTTAAGAGTAAATTTATAAATTAGTTTTGAAGGGATAAAATTGTTGGTGAATTAAAAATTTAGAATTAAGATTAAAATATATGATTAAAATGAAAAAATAACTTAGAAAATATGAAAATTTTTTATTTTTATTTTTTAATTAAATTAGTGGAATTATTATCTTGTAAAATAAGAAAAAAAATTAAATTACTAAAAAAGTATTATATTATTTAATT